GTGACGTTGAATAATTTGGACATAAAAGGCCTTCTTCATTATTTCATACACTTTGTGGAACATACCATTACCGCTGGCAGCAAAACAGTCACAGTCCCAGAGCATGACGCTACCACCGCCATGCTTGACAGTTGAAACCCTCACCTTTATCTAGTTCTCTTGTCATTATGGCCAAATAACTCAATCTTTGCCTTGTGTGACAATGAAACTTCTCCAGAAGTCCAGAAATCCAGAAGAATTTGGGGTTAGTCTGCCTTCTTAATTATTCCATCCACTCTGTACCAGTACAGCTGGTATCAAAACAGCCCTAAAGAATGCTACTGTTGGTAGTGGTAGCATCGCTCTTGGTACAGTGTTCTTAGGTTTGACAGCCTCACCCTTACAAACACACCTGCTCTCATTTTGGGCAGATAGCTCAACCTTTGTTTCCTCAGAGTGTAAAACCTTTCTCCTGAAAGCATTTCATGGTCATATTAAGGACCCCACATCTGGCGATTCTTGAGTAGAGGCTTAGGAATAATGTTACCAAGTTGGTAAGGCAATTTCTGTAAAATTGATTTAAAAAATGTTACTCTACATTTCCAAGATATCCAGTTGCTCCTCCAGAATGATGGTGTTCAGTTCCACCTGCCTACTCCTGAATAATTAGTTAGTTTATCCAGACAATACCGAAAGGCACAAAATCAACACATCCACACTGCAAATACTCCGAAAAAAACCAAATACAAATAGCTGGCAGCAAGACAAACACAGAAATAGAGGCAGAGTGACTGCACACAGAAATCACCAATGCAACTATGAAGCAGCGTGTTTCAATTGACATAGCCAACCAACTAACTAACCAACCGTTAGCTGGGTGGGCTATTGATCTGAATATTGATCGACTGAAGGGTGTGGTGCTCCACTGCAGCTGTGCTTTTGGCCAGACACTCAATATGGTAATATTAGGGAGTAAATCATTGTCATGCAGCCAAAAAGGATATTAGAAAGGGCTCCACTGCTGATATGTGAACTTTATTTATATATTTATATCCTAAATCTGTTTTGTTATATCAATACATTTTTTAAGCATAGCATCTGTCCCTGCAGTTGATGTTTGATCAACTCAAACTACAGAAACGTACAAAAATAAATGTCTTATGTGTTTACACCATTTTACTGGGTCTTTTAATACCTCTTTTAATAGAACAGTGGGAGCTGAGGGTTCAAGATGAAAAGAGGGCTCTAGTTCCTTTGTCCGTTCTGATCCTTTCCTGAGGCCAAGGGAACGTGAGATGCAGGAGGGCAGGCAGGTGTGGTTCCAGAGGTTTGTCTTGTTTGAGTTGGGATTGCAAGACCGAGCAGACCAGTGTTGGAAAGCCAAGTGAGTAAACAGGTGAGTTGCAAATTGTGGACAAGGCCGAGAAGAACTGGAAACAGAGAGACAGCACAACAAGTGCAAGGGACAACTAGATGCTGCAGTGCAACCATGGGGATCCAATTTACCTCTGCAGGCTCAAGCTGATCCTTCAATGCTGCTCCTTGATTGACGGAGGATAAAAAAACATTTGAGTTTGGTAAGAGGCAAGAACCTGACTCCGCCCAAAGGGAGGAGCCCAACTCAACCTGGACCCAGAGAAAACGTTCCTTCAACCAAGACCCTCATCCCGGACCATGACATACTTGTAACTTGATGGCTTAAATGATTGGCAAACTCATTAACTCATTAACTTTCTGTATGCCAAACTCCAGAAGCTTAGTAATTAGAAGAAAATTAAGATGTCTAAAAACTCTTTCTATCTTTTTACAAAATAATATAAGTCAGCTGAAATTCTTAACACTTTATCAACTAGATTACAAGAGCTGCTGGTTCTCTTTACAACTTTCTGGGTGATTATTTATTTTTTGCCTCCTCATTTGGACAAAGGACACTGTAAAAAAATAAATAAATCCACTGCATATTTGAAGTAAGTTACTGGGAGTCCGAGTGCTGTTTCCAGCAACTTGCTAGTTTCATTTACCATAGATATCATAATGCATTACACTATGTATGATAATACAAAACATTTTAATTTACTATATTTTCACTACATTTTATGTTACTATATTGTATTGTCATTATAATATTATTAAATTAATATAAAATCATTTAGCCTATAACCATATTCTAAATTAAAATGTCTAAGCAATATGTATAGTAGAACTTTTAGCAAAGCTGTTAGGAAGATGACAGCATCCTTGGCTCAAACTCATAAATGACAGTTGCAGTAAAACTTTGCAGGCATATTAAAGATTCCCAGAGAAAAATTCATCCTGACTAAAGTAATGACCTGACTTCTTATCTGGCTTCTCAGGCAGGTTAAAATGTTTTTGACAGACACAAAATTGGCTGTAGTTCCCAGACACCTAGTATCGCAGTAATTTTGCTACTTTTCTAATATTTTTAATGTCTCAGCAATAACAGCTCCCAAATTTGGGATCTGAGTAAATATCAATAAAATGTCAGCTAAAATTGCATGAAATGTGATGCAGACATTGATGAATGTCGTTCTACATTAGTTTTGAATATCTTTTTTTTTTAGCATTTGAATTCTGCTCTCCCCAGCATGAACTGTATACCATGAGCCTGATCAGGAAAATAACTGCAAAGCACCAGATCTGTTGCATGCAGATATTACAGTTATGCACATCCAAGCTGTAGTTGTCAGTGATGATGTCACATATTGATGATTCACACTCTATGAAACATCAGTTTACTGCTGACTGTCAGGGTTCCTGGGTCGGTGACCCAGTGCTTTCCGTTTTGTTCACGTTCAGTTTATTTCGTCACTTCCTGTTTGTTCCTGTGTTAGCTCGTCTCGTGCCGTTAGCCAGATTATGTTCAGCTGTGTACTCACCGGTCTCTCATTATCATCCTCATCAGTCTGTGTATTTAAGTCTTCTGTTTCTATTCGTTCTTTATCGTGTCATTGATGATGTTCGTGTGATGTTGTCCTCCCCGTGTTCTCTCAGTCAGTCAGCCATTCTGTGTTCCAGCCAGTCAGTGTCCGTTCACCCTCTGTTCCTCCGCTCCTTATAATAAACATCCACCAGTCTTCACCTACCTGTGAGTCCTGCGTTTGGGTTCCTTCTTCCTCGCCTCCACACAACGCCTGACACTGACTAATAGTTTATTTGTCTCAAGCACTAGGGAACCAGTCTGCTGTCAATAAATATTTTTTTCATAAAACAAAAAACAAACAAACATGTATTTTGTTAAGCTGATCAAAGATCATTTCACCATTTATACTGGAAATGCAGTTCTTAAACACTTTTTACAAAAGTGAAATGATTACTATCCAAAATTAAGGACTAAGGTAAAATGAATGTAGTATGTAATGTGAATCATTTTTTGATTCATATTCTATTTGTTTTTTCTGTAAGCAGATGCTTGTACCAGCTGGTAAACATTTTTATGTCTTCTTTAATGGCTGCTTTGGGCATCTTAACATGGGACTGTGTGGGTGTGAATAGAGAAACTGTAGTTCAGCTTGGTAGTCTGTTGGTCATTCGTGGGAAGCTAAAAAGTGCCTGTCAACCTGCATAAAGCATCAGTTGTCAGATGGGGGCATAGTGCTCAATATTTATGCTCACTGGGATAGTCTTACATGTGCTGATGTTGGTCTGTTAGCAGTTCACAGAGAAGAGCACAGTTACAATTGTTGTTAGAATTGTTAGCAAACATGTTCATCAAATAATACAAGCAGTAAACGATAATAACAGAATATAAAAACAATACGCTCCACATAATACTTCAATCTGCAATAATTGCTATATTTTCTATATAATATAGTGTTTATATAGAATATATAGCAATTATTGCAGATTGAAGTATTATGTGGAGCCAAACTGTGCTTATAAAGCATTTATCAGATAACTTGAATGGCAACTTTAAGGGGTTAAAATCAGCTTTTTGAAAAAGATAAACTGGAATCCTAAACCGTCACTGATGTTATTTTACTTTATTACCATTACTTCAAAATTAATCACCTCTTATTTCTACCAATTTTGTTGCTTTTTCAAATGCAATGTTGTTTATTATTCCAAGTAAATTATAGTGAATTTGTTTTTTTGTTTTTTTAATAGTTTTGTTTGATACAGTTAAAGTGTATATTGGTCCAGTTAATCTTGAGATCCTTTCCATGGTTGTTAACAGAATTCTTCCAAAAACTGAATTATTCCTTTAAAATCAGCTATTCAAATTTTTGGGATTATTTTGTAAAATAGAATAACTGTTACTGTTTTCTCCATCAATATTATTTTTACCGATAGTGGAATTAAGGTTTGCTTTTAATCATGGAATCTCACTTATTTTTCAAATTTAAATGTCGACCCAATGTGTCTGAAAAAAAACTGATATGGCTTATAAAGATTTGGGTATCTGATCAGAAATGATTAAAAACAATGCTGTATTATCTGCTAACTATGAGAAAAATAACCTGATTTGAATGTGTGTGGCTATTAACAGAACTGTATTTTGTGGAACTTATGCATTGGTTTCATTTTTCAGTTTCACCTTCCTATTTGGGTTTGATGGGCCATATGTTGATCCTTTGAGACAGTTTGTTGACTGGTGATACAGGTTAAACCATCAATGAATGAATGAAGAAGATATTGAAGACATATAGCCTTCATCTTGACATTTTTTTTATATTGCGGATAAAATATATAGTAAAAGAACAGTATACCTGATGATCTACTGTTGTGTGGGTGGTGTACTGAAAGAAACAGGACTCCTTGTTACAAAGTATAAATGCTTGAAAATAATAAAAATAAATAAATAAATCAGTGTAACCCACACAGAGCTGTGTCAGCTGACACGACGGCGAACTCAGATACGACAGCAGCAGCCTCAGGGAGACAGTTGCCACGGAGACCGACGCACGTCATCCTGTAGCGGTTGCCATGGCCCTCCTGACGTCAAAGCCCCTCGCAAGATGCTTAGGAAACCCCCTGGCGCGGTTGCCGTGGATACTGGCGGGGGGAGGGGTGGGGTTAAGAGGAAGCGGAAGTGTCAGAGCAGGCGGAAGTGGTACTGCCCTGAATACCCTGAGCAGCGAGCGGAGGACGGCTTGACAAACTCACATCGTTGAGAGAATAAAATCGGGATTCCTAGTACATCTTAAATGTGAGTTCACCAGCATATTACTCGATTATCGTCTTATAGACAGTGTAAACACAGTCTTTCGTGGAGAGGAGCAGTCCGAGTGGTAGCCCCATTGCCTGCCTCTGCGGCGGAAGGTGCCTATTGTGGTCTGGGGCTGGGGGCGAGGGTTTAGGCCGAGAATGTGGCCGGATAACGAGAAATAATCCATAAAACACATATGAGCGGTTGCTTCTGCTCTTTATGCAGTTATTATACCACTGATCTTTAATTTTGAAGGCCCAGAATGAGATCGATGCATGCGCGATCCGCGGTCCCGTGAAGGGGGGGGAAGCGGCACCAAGTTTGGCCATTTTGACAGCTTAGCAACCCCAGCCGTCGCGAGAGCTCAGACATTTTAGCAGTCAGTGCTAGCTACATGGCGCCGCGGCTAGCGACAAACTAAACCGCAGACGCTATCTGCCATATGACGATCGTAATATCTGGCCTCATTATTCGCAGCATGGACTGGAAAAGACATCGCGATTATGGATTGTCTTTAAACGAACTCCGTCATGGCGTAGTGAAACGATATGGAAGCTAACCCACCCTCCATATTCCTTGGGAGTCTCCCCTCAAATTCGACTTAAATTTCAAGATCTTTCGATTTTATGTAGCTCGATTAGGATAGTGAAGACATAGAACTAATTAAACATTAAACTACGTAGATTATTTAGCTACCAGTTTTGGTGTAACCTCGTCGGCGTTCAGATTGAACTGGGTCAGATCCCCTTAGCGGGCTAGGCTAACCATTAAAGCCAGTAAGCAGCCGTGCTGTGACGTTTAGCTTCCATGCTAGCTGGCGGTAATCTAGCTCTCCATCTTAAAATTCCGCAGGGGAATGCGACAAGGAGGGCGTAACTGCTAGCAGGCCGACTCAGCGCTGTTACCTCAGTATTCGTGCCCCGAGGCCGTTTTTAAAAACGTCCGTGTCAAACCCTTTTTGTCGAGATCATGGATTTTACTCGATTGGGCGTGTGTCGGTCCAAAGCTGAAGATGGTGTCCCTCGATTTTTTTTATTTTTTTTATTTTTTTTTTAACGATAATTGTTTAGCTAGGTGGTTCAATAACAGCACGGCAAATGCAAAGCATGTTGGTCGTGTGCCAGACGATTGTAGCTTGGACTGAGTTGGATCAATGTCAAGCCGATGTGTAGCTCGCTATGGCGGTAAAGCAATGCGTCATTAATGCGCTTGTAATCGCGACCAGCGGCATTTTACCTAATGCTAAGTGCTAACTCGTGCTAATATGTCATAACACAGCTGTGTGAATTACGATGCACGACAGACCTGGCAATTAAATTGAGGCGGAGCCCCGTTTTAGTGTTTGTAGGTAATGCAAGCCATTACATAATTTCTATCCTTTGTGTATATATAAAAAAAATAATAATAATAATGATACGCCGTGTTAGGTAGGAGTATCGTTTCTACACACAATCAAACAGTAATGAACCATGTTTGACACACTTCGTACAGAAATGATCCTCACATCTTCCTAAACAAGAACAAAAATTGTCCTATTTTTTATATAATTTTTAATTAATTGGTTTTAATAAAATGTCTATAATATCAGTGTCCAGTTCCCATGACAATCACTACAAAAGTTGTTTTCAGAACCCTACATTCTTAACAAAATCAAATCATCAATCATCAATGTTATATCTTAAATCCTACTATTAGTATTTTAGTTTTATCAGTGTTATTGGAGAGTACAGTGAAGATTAAACAGGAGAGTGGAAGAAGACCTCAGCAAAGGGTCTTGGATTGGACACGAACCTGGGTCCTGGGATATGGTTGCCTGCTCAACCCACTGAGCAAAACTGGTGTCTTGAATCAAATTTCGATGGATTATGAAGTTAACATTACTTTTGTTAATATGCATTATGTTCGAAACACATTAAACAAAATAATAGCCAGGAACCAATACTGCAGTCTGTGTCCTGGTGTCCCATCAAAAAAATAGTTGCTTTCCTGTGGTGCGTGTTAATACAAGTACATCAGCATCTGGCACCTGAATAGGAGATTTGGTGATGATAGAAGGTGGTGGTGGGGGACTTCACCCTGCCAAACACTGTCACCACCTAATCATGTGTTTCTGTGACCACCATCAGTGATGAACATTAATTCATCAGTTTTATATATCAATTATGATTTTGGCTTTGTGATAAATAGGATAAAAAAAATAATTTCTGCCCTTGCTATGAGGCTCTTGTTTTGTCTTTTATTATAAATCAAGAACAAGTTTGACCTTGTTTGCTTTTTGCCCCACCCTAAAATCGCTGTTTAGATCAAATTGAGCCAAGACGACTTTGGGTGACCATCGAGATGATATAAAAGTTCTAAAACGTTTGTGCAGGTGAACCTTTTGTTGTATGCAGGGTTTGACTCTCTAAACTTGTAAGCTTTTGCCAGCACGCTACCAAATTGCCGGTTTGTCATCGACTTCAACCCGCCGTCGCTCCACAAACCATGAAAGTCCTCAGAATCCACTGCAGCCTTGGCTACCTCTTCCTGTGTACAATCTCAGGCGTGTAGAGACTACAGCCTGGAGGTGACTGGTGTTCAGCTTCCTACGAGATGATCCTGTGTCCCTGACATTGTTAACCTTTTTATAAAAATTATAATTATATTTAAAGTTACACAAATCCTGTTATAAATGAATGATTTCTGTTATCTTAAATAACTATTAGACAATTAAGATTATAGTAAGAGTATAGTTAACTCAAATATTCATGATTATTATGTTTTGCCTTAATACGGCAACCCTGTCAGGACCCACTCTGCAAAATGTTGCAGCTCCTTTGGCTTAACCTTCGAATGCCATTTGAATACATATTTTTATTAAAAACATTCAAAGTTTTTTGTATGGATTTCACACTTAAAACACCAGTCGTCATATATTCTGATGTTGGTTAAAGTGGGATTTGCCAATGTAAAACAATTATACAATTATATTACCCATGTGTCGGCCTCGACAAAACGCTGGTGAATCTAGAGGATTACATTTTTCCTTCAACAAGTGTCCTGATAATGGACTGAATTGGCTTCTGAATTTATAATGATCATAATGGTCTCACTATTTTTTTGAAAACTAATGGAACTGTGCTCAGTATCAGCAGATAATTGATTTCTGCTTGTTAGCCTTGGAATTGGCGCTCGATACGTGCTGTTGGTGCACTCCCTGTCAAGAGGCCTTTAATTACTCAGCAGAAGAATAGGAGTGGCCGTTTAGTTGTGAATGAATAGCTGAAGGTTTGTTAGATTTGTCCGCTCTCCTGCTGTGACGTTTAGAGGTACTCATTTTTTTCATATTTTCACAGTAGTTGTTGTAAAGATAAGAATCTGGTATTGAATTTTCTTTTAAATCATCCCTATAGATTATATTATTAAATTCTTAGATACTGTATTTAGGCTTTAAGTGTGTTTTTGGCAGATGCCTTTCATTTATTAACAAATACCAATTTTCAGACTGGCAGTTATGATTGCTTACAACTAAAAAACAAGTGTTAGCGCCTCATGCTAGTCATTTTTTAAAAATATTATTATTTATTACAGTTTGTAAGTTTAATAGGAAACCAATTGACTTACTGTTTGGTTGACTAATAAACATAAAATACCTTTTTTTTAAAAAATTATTTTTCCTGGAATCTGAGCTCCATTCAACAAAAAAAAATGCTAACAAAAACCAAAAATGCTTCCTTATGCATAATTGTTTGTGCTTATTCTTAAACATAAACAATTAAAATGACTGAGTGTGCAAAGAAATCTGCATATTGATCTGAGTGAATTAAATTAGGGAAAGCGTTAAAGCAACTAAACAACCACTTAAATGTGACAAGTAAAAGTAAGGGTTGTTTCCACGAATGCCTCAGCACCCTCTGGTGGCAGTGAGGTAAACTGTTACATGTTTTTAATATCATAGATTAAGATTTGAAAAAAGTACACAGAATGTTGCCCCAACTGGGTTATTTTCTTTCCTGCTTGCTTTTTTTTTTTTTTTTTTTTTTAAAGAAAATACTTATCAGTAGAAGACAACCTCAAGTGTCCTTTGCTGTGACAACACACTGTTCTCAAAACAATGCCATTCCTCATGTGAAAAGAGAACTAACTAGTAAGGCAGGTTACCTGGAACTTTGAAGGCGCTACTTGTTTAGATTGCTGAGATAGCTTCTGTGTACACCGTGTCCTCTATTGTCATGTGCTTTACCAGTCGCAGTTCAGCAGTAGGGTTGGCCTGAAGAAGTGAGAGTCACTGCTGGGGAAAAAACAAAATGACATAATACCTTGTACCACTGGAAGGAGGACTGCTAAAATCACTGTACCAAAAATGTCTGTATTTTATGGCTTAATTCTAAAGCTAATGGACATTTTTTGGACACATTTGCATATATATGGCCAAAGAATTCTCAAGAATTATTATTTTTTGGTTACACATTTTAAAACTAAATAGAAAAAGCCAGTTAAAATAAATGAGAAATACTATACCTAGGCATTTATCGAAGGAGGAAAGATTCAAAATGAGTTAAATATTTTCAGTCAATGAGGTTTGAACCAGGTGTGGGGGCCCAGTTTTGCGTCAGTAATGAGCGTATTTCAAAGTCTGATCTTCACAACACATTATTGGAAGGATATATAATTCCCCGTGCAAGATGCACGTAGCCTCGATGTCACCCAGCAGTTAGTGAAGCCTTGAGCTAAGCGTTTTTGAAACCAAATCATGGGATCGAGGGGTAGATGTGAAATTGAAATTGGTGACATTGCGTGACCTTATCATGAATCACAAGGTAGGCGAGCTCTAAGGTGCCCTGCCTTGTCTTCCTTTTTGACACCAGTGGGGATGGTAATTTGCAAAATTGATATTATCCTGTTTTAGAATGGTCTTGTAGCTAGTGATTGAGAATCTAAACTCATCGGGAAAGTTTTTATTGAAGTCACTGATCTGGCGAGCTGAAAGGTCAGTTACCCATGGGCTTGTACACAACTGGACTTCTTTTTGCAGCTGGACCAGTCGCCGCCTCCTGGTCATTAGAAGGAATTCAGGTTAAAGGAACTTTACCTTTGGGTGCTTTTTTCAAACCCAGGATTTATATTTATATATTCCATAAGATTATTATAAAAAGAAATTGGGCATCGTTAGAAGTATTCTGATTGTCAGGAGCATGAGACACTGAGTTTAATAGACGTCAGAAGCGAACAAAGATTAGCTTCTAGTCTTCCAAAGTCGTCGTCTTGTTTTGTTCTCCAGAAGACCTCACCAGAAGAAAGCTGAACAACAATGGTTTGCACTGTCCCTCATTGGGATGCATTGAGGAAGCTACTTCTCCCCAAAAACTGCACTGTTGCTGTCTAAGAGTTTGCTAAAGGCTGTTTTTTATTTATTTATTTATTTTTTTGTTTAGGTTTTTTTTTTTTTTGACTATTGAGAGACAGAGAGAAGAAAGAACATAAAAACGTAACCTGTAAAGTAGGGCTGCCACAAATGATTATTTTGATAGTCGACTAGTCACCGATTATTTTTGCGACTAGTCGACTAATCAGATCATGCGTCTATTGGACGTAAAACGTACAGCTTATTGCACCAGCATGCATCTGCTCTTATATAACTATCATTAGCTTACAGCTTGACGTGTTTAAGGTATGTGCTAACTAAAAATAAAGACAAGATGATAGTTTATTAAGCTTTTAATCAAATTTGCAGATTGTCTCGGAGTTTAATAAACTCGGCCGTCTGTTCTTTCTGTGTAAAATGACAGGACACTGGACTAAATTCTCTACCATTTCACACTTCTGTTTAATCAGTTCTCTGTTTGACATTTATTCAGCTGTGTAAAAACTTGTGTAACTGTAACTTTAGTCTCAGCCAAACCGATTTACTGAGGAACAAATAAAACTCTGAAAAAAGCCAAACAATAACATTTTTAAATTATCTGAGCGACTTGTATATCATGTTTAACCTGAAGTGAAAGACCTCGGGGGGTTTGAAAATGATGCGCCGGGAGTTTGCTGTTCTCGCCGGCTCTAGTGAGCCTCTAGCTATCGAGCAGGTGGGTAACAGACGTCTCCGAAAACGTGCACAGCTACATTCTCGCCTGAAAATATGTTAAGTTTATTTTGTGACCCAGAAAGAGTAATAAGAGTAATATTAAATCTAAGCAGCTGCCGCCATTGTTGAAAACTGGAATTGGCTGACCTGCGCTATGAATTCTGGGATAGGTTGGGCCACGAAGGATAAACGCGACCCATCCTTCAAATCTGGGGAAATGAAGGACGCATTTGGGGGAGTCCTCGAATTTGGACAGGCTTCGCCACGTCGCTGTAATGTAATTGGCCTACAAATGCGGCCTCCAAAGGATGCGGCCGCTAAATTTGGACACAGTTATGAAACCGGACACAGCTTCTTCTTCTTCGGGGTTTAACGGCAGCCGGCATCCCTGGACATGCAGTGCTGCCATCTTCTGTTTCAGTCCGTTATTACACTCTTAAATCCTACTACTTATTCCTGCGTCTTTTGGGATCTTACAAAGCTTCAAACGACGCGTCGACTATTAAATCAGTCGTCGACGATTCTGATAGTCGACGTAATCGTGACTAGTCAACTGATCGTGGCAGCCCTACTGTAAAACACGTTAGACGTGTTAGTGTTATGGTTTGGCTCTACCAGATCCTAATGGAACAATGAGTTTTCAATTGGAACAAAGGAATCTGAGGATATCTGTCCACAAACAGGAAGTGGGTCTTCCAGCAGGACCACCCCCAAAGCACAAGGTATCCTATGCCCTCCCCCTCCAAAAAAAAAAAAGAAGTCAGGTAGAGCAGTTGTGTTAAGTATTTGAAGCATGTAGTTAGTCTATGGAAACCCACTAACAACCCAGCTTTGGCGCTACTTTACACAGGAATGTCTTTTTCACTGCACAAAAACGGGTGTTACTCATGAAATGGAACTGTTCTATTTAGGGTAGAAGTTAATTGTTCCAATTTCATCCCAAAACGCTGCATATTGAAAGCAGCAAATCAATAGAGAAATCCATCTGGATCCTTTTTTTCTACTTTGTGTAAAAAATCTGAAATGTATACAAACTGTAAGTTTTAATAGTCAAGGTTTTTTCTTGCTATGGTAAGTCTTGGGAGAATTGCTTTTGACCAGAAGAAAGAATTCAAAAATATGTCCACGCATGCTTAAAACAAATCTCCTAGAATGGTAATCTCTATCTGATGAATAAACTGTGGCAGTTACCAGAAAATTACTAACCACAGAAACATGCCACAGTTTGAGAATGTTGGAAAGAACAATAAGGGAGAAATCGGATCTGTGCTGATTCGAAATGTTGAAAACTGTGTCGACTAGAAGTCGACTCGACAGGCCGAATTGCAGAAATTGGATTTGTTGACAGCAAGGCCTAATTGTATCTGCAGTGAGTCATTGTTGGAAAAACACATGAAAAAGTCAGAGTGCTAAAAATGTTTTATAGGCGCCAGATCTAAAGATACTTTACAACCTGCTCTTTAATTTAAAATCTGAGCAACTGACATAAAAGCCAGTGTTAAGCAGAAAGCAGCTCAGAATAACCGAATAAATTCAGATGTCTGTTTTTGTGGCCTGCTTTCATCTTTGATATTGAGTTAATGACAGTAATACTCTTATTAGACTAGAACTTGGTTCAGAATGAATTTGAAACCATTTTAATGATGTGTTAATGACATCAGATCTGTCAAAAAATGACGTGTAAATCTCAGATTTGGTTTTATTTATGGTGGGAAATGTGAGAAAAGTACAGTAAATAAAAGTCCTCTGCTTGTGGCATTTATCATAGCTCATATTTTTTTTGCCCTCCATAGGGAAACCCTCTTCCACAGCGAGGTGAGAGGTCAGGTAAGCTCCAAGGATGCTAAAACTGAACAGAGAGCTAGTTTTGAATTTCCCTCTGGTAGATAACTGGTGACGGAGCTAAAACTCTAGCAGCTAAGGCTGCTTTGTGTATAAATGTGTTTGTACATTTTACTGTTGCCGTGATGGTGTAGTCGTGTTTTCATTAGCAGTTTAAATGTGTAATGGTTAAGTGCTTAAAGCTGATTGTGGCAAATCCAAAGTGTGATGGTGTAGATATAAAAGGCGATGATGTGGCCTACTTAGACCTACAGATTCATCTGGAGAGTAGAGCAGCCCTCGGGGATGAAATAACGGGGAGCAGCCATTTCGCTGCAATTGAGGTTTTGACATTTTATGAGACATTTTATTAAGTCTTTGCCAGTATATCCGACACTGTCGTACGTGACGTTAGGATGCGCCAAGTGCGATGATGTGGATTCTCTTTGCTAGTGGGTCGACCAGCTTTTTACACGTTCCTGTTTTCTTGCAAAGTGGCACCTGCAAGTGCAGTATTCTAGCTATGACATCTGCTATTTCTTTCAGCTTCTTCGATATGTTCTGCTCTTATTAAAAGCGCTGATTTCCACACCTGTTTCTCACAAGCTCTCTATCTCTGTATCGTTTCTGGTCAAAGATGAAGAGCTGCAGCGGTGAAGTCCTAACTCTGGTCTCCTTCTTCTTGCAGTCTAAAAGATGGATAAGAGCGACCTGGTGCAGAAAGCCAAGCTGGCAGAGCAGGCCGAGCGCTATGACGACATGGCGGCTGCCATGAAGGCTGTGACAGAGCAGGGCGCAGAGCTCAGCAACGAGGAGCGCAACCTGCTCTCTGTCGCCTACAAGAACGTGGTATGCTATCAGTCTTATCATTTGTGCGTGGGTTGTTTTGATATTCTTCTCCTCCCCGCAAACCTGTAGATCCCTGACTCCCAAAGTGTCGGCCACGGCCCCCTGGTGAGCTGTGAAAGTATTACGGGTGGGCCGTGAGAGGTCATTTACAATGAGTATACTATTATAAATTCAGCTAACTGAAAGGTCGATACAATTTTGCTTTTTTTTTTTTTTATTGATAGGAAAATGTCATTTTAAAAATAGCTTTATTTTTTGTATCCCCCTTATTATTGCAGAGGTTGCAAACCTGCCACTGCCCATCATCAGTGGTGACCTGTGATTTCAATGAAAAGCTAGATGAATATAGGAATGATTAATGGTTTTCCTTTTTATCCTTATCACTTATCTCTGCTGGATAAGCATAGGAAATTGAGAATTTAACAGTGTATATGCTGAGATTTGTTTGCTTTCTCTGGCAACACTGTTGGATTACAAGTATATTTGATCTGCTCCTGCTCTGCAGTGAAAATGAAAATGAATATTTTGTCAAAATTCTTCCAAATTTGCTCTTTTGATAGTAAAGGTTTATAGCTAAAAGCACAGATTTACTCCTGACCATGAGGCTTGTTCACTTCATATTTCAATTTTTATTTATTTTTTTTGTTATTTATTCTCCTATGACTCACAGTTCAAATAATAGCTTTGGTCTTTCCAAGTTATATGATATATGGTGTTGGGTAATCACCAAAATACTGTACTGACCAAATTAATTGTGATTGTAACTGCGATATTCAAAACTAAAATGCCGATAATAATGGATTAATTTGACAGATTGTATCATTTTCTGGAGACATTACACTCGTAGTGTTAATGAATTCTTTCGAAGTAAAAATCTGTCATCTTTTACAAAAGGAACCATAAAATTCTGTGTTATGACATTATAGAGGAGTCTCTTTGTTCTCATGTTTAGTTTGTCACCACAACACATTATACAAGGAAAGTGTTCTTTGACCCCATATGATCTTAAAAGCAGAAAGAGCGCTTTCACAGCTCAGTGATAACAATACATTTATAGCACCTATGTCAGCTATAAACGTGTCCCTCCCTTCAGTCCTTTTTTCTTTAAATCATTCTCAGAGATTTCTTTGGAAACCTTTACTGTAAAAGTTTTGGGTGGCCGAATATTTTTGAAGTTCAGCATAGTGTAGTCCATCTTGGCAAGAATCAGTAACTAAAATGCCAACTCGTTCAGCTCTAAGACTGTTCTTAGCTGTGCATTTTACATTTAGTGGTTTGTTTGTTTTTTTTCTGTAAAGATTTTGAAGTTTGAAGCACAAATTATGTAAGAACAGCCCGAGGCTTTCCTGCACTGCCGCTCTGTTTATCATTTGGGCTTTTCTTAAAGCTTGCCTGCACCAAGTAGTACACAGTTCAGTTGATTTTGCCTGCTTCAACAGCAACTGCAGCAAAGTGGATAGTATATATGTGTTTAGTTCAGACGTAGGAAATAAAACACTGCAGTTCAGACGGGTTTTGTCTGGTTTTGCAGTTAATTTTGTGAACTGTTAGTCAGTGACAAACTTGGAAAAAAGATATTAATTAATAAAACGATACAAGACAATGAAGGTGGGATAAATGGAAATAAAAAGAAAAAAAGAAAAAAAAACAGTATTATTAGCATTATTCATCTAATTTATTTTCAGTAATCTCATTTCAGCTCATCAGTTTTGATGCTGTGATTAAAAAGACTTGTGATTTCTAACATTTTAGAATGACATTAATGACCTTGTGCCCTGCTGATTTGTTGCAGCTGTTGATGTCCAACTATGTACCAAAACTATCCAAAATCAACCCTGAATATTTGCATTTTTAATCATGGTTACTCAGATGTCCGCATCAGTTGATGGGCAATCAGCATCTACTTCAGATTCAGCATACTCTGTGCAGATATCAGCCTGTGCTGTAGCCTGATAGTCACTTCTTCAGAAGAGCAAATACACGCCACAATGTGTAGTTTGAATCAACTTGCAGTATGTAATAAATGAGCTCTGCTTGTATCTGACTTCCTGAAGGGGCAGTGCTGCAGTACTTTAAGCTCAAGTAATTTAAATTCTGCATTTATTGGCTCCAAACCCAACATATCAAGAAAATGCACAGGCATCTGTTATGTACGGTAATGCTTTAATCAAAGGTCCATTGTGGCCCCGAATAAACCTTAGATATACTTAAATTCACTCTCATTTAGTTGTAGATCAGATGCAGTAAGATGCTGTCTTTTAATGTGACTCCTTCTGGTTTGCATTGTCTTTGCTAATAGGTGGGGGCACGCCGTTCATCCTGGCGCGTCATCTCCAGCATCGAGCAGAAGACGGAGGGGAACGAGAAGAAACAGCAGATGGCCCGTGATTACCGCGTGAAGATCGAGGGTGAACTTCAAGAAATCTGCAATGACGTGCTGGTATGAACAAGAGTGGGAAAGATCGGGCAGAGAGGAGGAGGAGGGGGGGACGAGGAGTTGTGAAGAAACAGTGAAAGAAAGGAGAAAATGGATGGTTGTGATGGTAGAAGGAACGGCAATACTTAAGAGAAGGCAGAAGATGGTGAAGGAAGGCACACTGTAGTTGATCCCTTCTGGCTGTCACATGGTGTTACTTGTGGAGATGGTAATAACGTAGCTGGCAGCTGTTGAGAGAGCTGCCAAACAAAGCTTTAATTTTCTTCTCGTTCTTTTGCTTTGCTGCCCCGCTTGGCACGTTTGATTAATTTTATTTGTGTTCACTTTTCTATAGAAGAAGCTGTGCACGCGCACGTGTGCTCCAAAGGGGGGATGGTGTGGGCAGATTAAACTGTGTATTACCCCCCCGCCCATTGTTCTTAAAATGACACAGCTTGCCCATTTAGCAGTGCTGTTAATACTGCAGTGCCAAGTCACAGTAACGGTGCGTACTCCCAGAAAATTAATATTGAGCGGTAACCCCATTGACTAGACACCCTTCTTGAATCTCACATGGACTTTGTTCTTGCACAAGATTATTTTTATGATCTTGTGTGAAAAGGTTATGCATAAATGTTTAGCCAGGCAGCTTCATATCGGTTACTGCGCGTTTCTTTCTTCTGAAACTCTTGACTACTGCGCAAAGACATCATGGTCCTGCACAATCCCAGGGAGCTATGCAAAGTGTTTCTCCGATAAACTACTTGCAAGTAATCGTGGTAAAATGCCTTATGAACGTTCACGACAAGAATGAAGGTCATTAGTGTGCTAATTTAATGCTGTAGGGTTGTGCCACATCATATCGTACATGATAATACTGGTACAAATTTTTACGTGACATAAAAAGGCTATACAGCACTATCATTGCTATAACAATGCCTTGAGTTTACAGTCCCTCGAGTTCAATGACAAGACAAGCCCAAGCATGTCTAAAAGCAAGAGTTGTGTATCAGTTTCTGATGCTGCTTTTTTTTTAAGGTACTACATGTACCTTTTACCACTTCCAGCAAACCACCACACTTTGCCAAGTATGGAGGAAATGTTTCGCCACTTGAGGCAAAATTCCGTCAAGCTAAATATTCAAGCGGTTATGTGATACTTCAAATTTCCAGGGAAAACACTAACTGCTTACTCTTGTGCTTACATTTGACTTATGCTGTATCATTGGATGCAATGCTGTGTCACTACTATTGCACCTGAATACTGCCCGTCTTAGTAGTCACTCTTCCAATGAGCAAGTGTGCTTTTATACAGCAGTCACCTGTATATACTAGGGGTGCAACGATACAGAAAATTCACGGTTCGGTTCGATACTTTGGTGTCACGGTTCGATATTTTTTTCGATACAAAAAATGTTCGTGCCTTTTTAATAAATTATAAATATATTTTAATTCAAAAGTACAGTTTTTAAATGTAATGTTGCTGAAACAAAAAATAAATCTACCTGATCAAGAAATCACTCATCTTTGGAAAAGAGTTTATTACAGAGAAATG